CCATGAGTTCGTTTATCCCTCATTTGTCCAGGATCCCTTTCGTTGTTCCATGAGTTGTGCTATAAAGATATAGTATGTTGTGAATGCTTCCACCACGTTGGAATGGCTCTCCGTTTAGATTGGATCCATGGATGAGAGAAGATTGGAACCATTTATGCAATTCCAAATGGTTTGGAGGTGTCGAAGATGAGCAATTTGGTGGATAGTTTGGATGGAAAGTTTGGCTTTGATGGAATTAGTGCTGGATTGGGAACCAAGGGCACGGTGGCAGCAGTGCCATGATGTTCGGCGCCTTTGTGGGTCTTGGTGCGATGGTTATCAAGTGGAAGAGAAGAGTCCAAGATTGGCAGAAGAGGAATAGCTTCTCTACATGGCTACTGCTGATCCACGCTAGCGGCACCAGTTTCATGGCGAGCAAGGCCTTAGCCAATCAAAACAAAATTTGGGGTTCTTCTGCTTTCCTTTCTGGATGGAAGGGGTTCTTTTATTTCCAACTGCTGCAAATGATTATGTTTGGAAACAAAAATAAATGAATGCGGTCTAAATGATCGCGAGATAATTAAGCTATTGTGAATCTAATTTCAAATCATCAAATACTAATTTTTTAAAGCAATCTGTATTTTAGAGTGAAAAATGGAGTGTTCATAAATCATTGTTTTTTTATTTATCAAAACCTAAATTTTAATTGCATTTAAAATCTTAAATTTCAAATTATGAGAATAGAAGTTCTAGGGCAAGTATTAGTAGTTTATATATAAATATATTTGTAATTACTTTTTATTACAGAGAGAAGTTAATTGAAAATTCATAAATTTAAAGCAAAAGTTTTTCCAAAAGGTTTCCTTTTAAAATTGTATGAAGCAATCTTAGCTATATAATGTAATTAACATCAGTTGTGATGTAAGTGTGATTTATAAGATTTTTTTTGTTTTTTCAAACAGTATGAAACTTTTTTGAAAAAGGAAAAAGGAAAACTCATGATTTGATCTAAATCCACTAATCCTACCCACGTTCCGCAAAGGGTGGCCAGTAGGCCACCAAGTGCGGGACGTGACTTATAAGACTTTTATCATTTGTATTATCTGTTTCCATTTTCCTCCTTTCCTTACCCTACACTGCCACTCAACACCGTATTCATTGTTCACGTGTAACGTCTATAGCCTAAACCTATCTTCAATCATATCTCTTGACCTGTCCCTAATCAATATTTTTTTAAAGAGTAATGGTATAGAGAATAAAAATTTAAAATTAATAAATGTAAAAGATAAAATAAAATAAAAAATTATAAATTTATATTTTCAAAAGAGTTACAGTTTTAAAAAAAAAATCTCAAAAATGTCATTGAAGGAAGCCAACATCGCTTATAGAACTAAAAGTCGCCTTGAGTGTCCCGCTGCCTTAAATGAGACAAATGTTAACGGAATATATTTGACGAAAAAAAAAAACCATCGAAGGGTTATTTAAATTATTTAAAACTTCTAAATAATTATTTTTATTTGAATGTAGTTCTTATTAAATTTTTTTTATTAAAATCTTAAAAGTATTTTATTATTTTTATTGAAGAAAATAATAAGTTCA